TTTTTTTTTTTTACAGATCTCTTTATCTCTCTTTAGGGTCTCCATCCTCATCTTATATATAATGCCCATTTCGTTTTAGGACGACAGCTTTACCTGCTAATGCTCTTAGAGAGCTACTGACATTTATGCTTTTATGTAATTCAGGGCTTCTGCTTATTTTCTCCTTTTGTGAACAGGTATTGGTGGAGAATGGAACAAAAGCTGGGCACCGCCTTCTCATGGATGCCAGGGACCTGGTTCTTAAGGTAAGATTCCTTCTCCTTCTTTTACTCCCTGCCCATCTGTCAGGGAGTAATTACTGTTACTCCCTTGAAAACTAAAGAGACTCTACCGTACATTGGTAAGAGTGACTTTCAGGAAACTAGGCATATGAAGTCCTCATGATACAGGGCAGTGGTTGGCAAAGGAGGGCCTGTGGATGAAGTCTGGTCCACTACGTATCTTTGTATGAGCCATGCTTATTCATGTCTCTTTCTGTTGTCCATGATCACTTTCACACTACAAACAGCAGAGGTGAATAGCTGGGACAAAAACAAATTTTGCCTACTTTCTGGTCCTTCAGAGGAAAACCTTTGCTGACCCCTGATCTAAGGCATTGCTGAGCTAAGAAACTTGTCTTAGATGTATAATCTTAAATGTAATTGTCCTGGAGTGGGACTTTTTTGAGAGTAGAGGTTGCTGACAAGGGAGAGCACCATGGTATGTGCCAAGTTCCTGCCTTTTTCCTGCTGCAAAGAGAAAGTTTTGAGTATTAGATGCAGCCAGCTTAATGCAAAGGACATAGTTAATCATTATTAGAATTGAATGTAGATAGATTCCTCAATTTACTGAGTGCAGAGATTGAATTATGAAAATAAGACTCCTCAGGCCCAGTTTTATTTCTTTGATTTCCTTTGATTTCAGGGAAAAGAGAAGTCACCCTTGGACTCTCGACCTGGTTTTGTCTTTGCCCCAGTGAGTATTACTTCTGCATGTCCCAGCACACAGATCTGAATTCAGGTGCACAGGAAAAGTGAGAGAGTAATGATGAATCACTCTCTACTACTTTGTCCCTATTCGGTTTCTACCTATTGATTCTCCTGGCTCTCCCTACCCCCTGCTCCTGTGCTTCCTTCTTTCTTGCCCCTCTTGACTCTCTATCATTCTTAGTTTTTAAATTCTATGATCAGTGGCTCTTTCATCATATATCATGTCTTTATGTGTGTTCACAGTGTCCCCATGAACTTCCTTGTCCCCAGTTGACAGCCTCTAAGCCCCTGGCCTGTAGCTTCTCCCAGGCTTACCATCCCATCCCCTTCAAGTGGGTATGTATCCTGGGAATTTTGCAGCAGGGAGAAAACAGCCTGGGAAAACTGGAAGAAAAGAAATCAAGAGGTGGGAGGAGTTGGAGAATTAGGAGAATAGCCTGGCAATTTTAGGGCCTGCGGTTATATAATGTATAGAATATGGAAAAGAACTTCAGAAATGGGGGGAGGAGGTTTAAAAGTTTTTCCCATATCTTTTTCCTCTAAACAGTCTTTTATCCTTATCTTAGAACAAGAAACCAAAAGAGGAAAAGTTCTCTATGGTGATCCTTGCCCGGGGTTCTCCAGAGGAGGCTAATCGCTGGCCCCGTATCACCCAGCCTGTCCTTAAACGGCCTCGCCATGTGCATTGTCACCTGTGCTGTCCAGATGGGCATATGCAGCATGCCGTGGTCACAGCCCGCCGGCATGGCAGGTATAAATAGGGGTGTGACCAAAATTAGTGGGACATGGCAAGATTCTGCAGCCCACATTGACATCTCTTTCCCATAGGGATTTGTATCGTTGTTCCCGTGCCAGCTCCTGGGGAGATCGTCTACCTGTGATCACTCCATCTGAGTTTCCTCCATCCCCTTCTCAAGATCTCTCTGAGAGTTGACAAGGATGTGTAACAAGTATTTTCTTTCACCATGCCTGTCAAGGCAGAAGCTACCTGGTATCCAGGATGAGAGTGCTGGTACCCCCATGTGTCTGTGTGTGTTTGAGGTTTTAGTAATAATAATCATCATAATAAATTTTTAAAGAATGGAAGTGGATTTTGTGATTCTTAAAAGGGATAAGAGTCAGTTGTC